TGAAGGGCGTATATTGTGGACACAGTAGGCACGGCATTTCAGGAAACAACGCCAGCGACCCACCTTCCTATGTCCCTCGTGAATTGATTAGTGAAACTTGTATCCGATTGACGCATAATTCCACTATCGACGGCGTCATGTAATTTTTCCTCCATCGATGAGAGTCGAAGTTGAAGTGTTTTCATGAGGGTTCGTGGGCGCATGGCGTGCACGCATATGAGAAAACCGAGGAGGATGGCTCCAGCCCTCACTAGGTCCTGCGGGATGAGGGATAGAATGACCATCCACGCTGCTGAGAGGATCGCTCGGTGATACTCTTGAAGGGACATTCAGTAGGATGGGGGGAGAAAGCTTTGGAGCAGCCTCCTTTTCAGCGAGTCTTTCACTCTCTGGTTTTTACGGCAAGCAAGCGCCCACCCTAGTATTATTAAATCCGGGTAGCGGAAATACTTCGTCAAGTGCGGGGCCAATATGAAATGTATAGTGCGGGGCCAATACAAACCGTACCTTGAAAGGTGACATCGGATTGGCCTGGGATATTGACGTTATTTGACATTTTGGTTGTGTAGCTTCAACGTTACAACTTCCAGCCTACAAAATTCGTAGGAGTCCGCTCAATGTAGTTTTGTAAACTCCCTGAAGTTTTGGTATTTTTTGGTGAACGTGTTGTACTATGCATGTCGGGCCAACCTCAGATGCTGTTCTCTTAGCTGATCTACAATCGCACATGTTTTGTTGCTTGTACGACCAAAACAGGCTTGTGGTGCTGTGCTCAGCCGCAGTGAGCCCTATTGTTGCTTCGTCGTGACCAGATTGTAGGTTCGGTTATGCTATGTTATATGCTTCAGCCCTTCAAGCTTAAGCCCTTCATCGTGACCAGATTGTAGGTTCGGTTATGCTAGGTTATGCTTCAGCCCTTCATCCGAATCATCGTGACCAGATTGTTGGTTCGGTTATGCTAGGTTATATGCTTCAGCGCTTCATCGTGACCAGATTGTTGGATCGGTTATGCTAGGTTATATGTTTCAGCGCTTCAGAGCTTCAGCCCTTCATCTTGACCAGATTGTTGGTTTGGTTATGCTAGGTTATATGTTTCAGCGCTTCAGAGCTTCAGCCCTTCATCGTGACCAGATTGTTGGTTTGGTTATGCTAGGTTATATGTTTCAGCGCTTCAGAGCTTCAGCCCTTCATCGTGACCAGATTGTTGGTTCGGTTATGCTAGGTTATGCTTCAGCCCTCATTGTGACCAGATTGTTTGTTCGGTTATTGCTAGGTTATGCTTAAGCCCTTCATCGGGATATTGCTCGGCGCTTGGAACGGTGACAGCAAGGCGCAAATGCAAGCACTTGTGCTATGTGGATTAGATTATCATCGGCATATTTTCGGATTTGAACAGACCAGAGAATTCAACAAAGTATGCAGAACAGAGCCTATGAAAACATGCGACGCATCCCGGATATCGTCGTCGCTATTATAATATTAGGCATGGGCACCTCGGGATCCTCCACATTCGCCTCCTCAACCATACTAATCTTTATCGAAAAAATCCCTCGCAAACTGAGCCGCGCGCTAGGTCAACACCAATTGTACTCCGTACCTTCACATCCTTTGGCATGCCCTCGTGAAATTTAACCCTCGGATGCTCTCCATACCGTCCAAGACGTCCCTCAGCCACTTCCGGTCCCCTTCCAGATGTACGGCGCGGTTGACATGGTTCAGCTACCCCTTGCAAGTGCCTTTCTGTTAGTACACGGAAGTTGTTCGGTGCTGGTGCCTATGGTCAAGGAACGCCTTTCGGATCTGCGAGCGAACCTCTCTGTTTGAACACGGATGGGGCAGCCAACAGCCCATTCACCTTCAAACATGTCGCAATGTGTGCGTGGGTGTTTGCTTTGGTCCTGAGGATGCGGGAATGGGGTCATGAATGCAACGTTGCGCCGTTATCGAAATGGCGATAGCAGGGTCGGAGATTATTACATAATTGCTTGTGACCGTTCTTTATTTATCTCTTAGATTCTTTCACCCAACTTTCATCAACGCTCTTGACTCTACACTCCAGCCAGTGGACATGTCACCGGAAGAATCGACACCCAGGAATTTAGAAACTTTTCAAGCAAAGCTTCTATTTCCGCCATGTATCTCAAGGAAGTGAAAGAGCAGATAGAGTTGCGTTCATCCACGACGTCCTCGAGAGATTGAAGGTACTTTCGCTTGGTGGTTAGTATGCCTTGGCTGAAGGGGAGGCCACTATAGACGCAAAAACGGACAGGAAATAAGGATGTGCGCCTTTTCTCCTTCCTTTGAGTTTTCGCTCATTCAAGTATTGATATCGCATAGATACCCAATCCTGAGAGGTGCATACTATGTGCTGTCGATCCAAGAGCTTCTTCCTTGACTGACTCGTGCTCGTTCCAGGTATATCCGACCACATGTATGGGATGGCCAACGGACGGCTATTCTGTGCATGTTATCAACTGACACGCATCTCCCGATTGGCGTCTTCGGTTTCCAAAACATTGACACGGCGATAGATGAGCCCATCATTCACCATCCCTCAAACAACGTCGTTGTTCTGCATCCACGTCGGCAACTCATTCATTCGCCCTTTCGCTTCACCTTCGGCCACACTCCCTTCTCCAACCTCCGATCTCAAAGGAGCACACCATTATGATTTCTTTTGGAACAGGCATGCGAGTTGTAGATCTCCAATTGTCGTCATCCCTTCCCTTTTCCTCTTATTCCACCTCGGTCTCTCATACCACCTCGCCGAGCGCGAGAATGCAAAGAGGTTCCATGCGACTGTTGTTTTTGATGCTGATACCGGCTTGAATCGGTGGGTCTCGTCTTCTTTTTCTTTGGGGTATACGAAGCTGATGGACAATAATAGTCCACAAGTACAACCAATTAATGGGGGGCTTTCCGCTCAGCGACCTTCTGTCCTCCACCGACCTTGACAAAGCACTCGAATCACTCATACCCATCTTCTCCTACCTAAACAGAAAACTGGAACTATCCCTCGACCCAACCGTCGAGTCT